GGAGGGGCCCTCCCTTTTGCAGAAACACGGAGAGGAGAGATTCAGAATGCAAATGCTTCGAGGGAGTGAGGGAATCGCGTGTGGTAAATGGAGGAGGAGTAGTAGGTTCCAGGGCCGGCACATTGCGTCCTCTCAAGTTTGAACGGGACGTCCTGCGGAAAGATACAAGAGATTGGGGTCACCTCGAAGGTCCTCCCAAACCGGCAGGGGGAGGAAGAGGGGGGGCATTGGCAGTCAAAATCAGTGATGTGCGAGTCCCCCCTCCCCTCCCCCAACCTTCAAGAAAATACAAATTGGCAATCCTCTTCCACCGGGTCAAGATGATGTCTGTGCTCCGTCCCATGCATTGCATGCGTCGCAGGACAAACTTCAGCGGCTTTGTACACTTTTCGAGGTCCCACTTTCAAAAGAAGCCGTAATTGTAGTGAGAAGGATTGTTTGCGAGTGTATTTGTACGCACAGCTGCAGTAAATGGGCACTTTAAGGATCTTAGTAGTGCTGTCTGTCCCCATGTTTAATAGGTGTTTGAAACATGCTCAGCTGTTACAGCCTTTAGTGCAGAAAGAAGCAACACAATGAGGCCTTGGCACACAATTTATGAAACAGAGTACAGACATTGTTTGGTGGTTAATTCTCTCCCCCCTCCCCATTATGCACCAGAAACCAGCAAGGTCAGTCGTCTGGTAAGCAAGTTAACTCTCACAACTGTAATTTTAAGCACAACATAAAAAACAATGTTCCTCAAGCAAAGCCCCCATTTGTACCAAGACTCTGAAGGTTTACACATTTGCTTTACTGCTGCACACAGCATGGCATAATCTTTAAAGTTAAAAAGCTTCCATTTGGACTTCCCTAATCAAAAATAAGTGAGGCAACATCAGCAGTGTTCTTAGTAATTACTAACACAAAACATAGTAACACCAACATGCTTCAAACACAACAACTTGGTTTCTCTGTGATATCAAAATTCAGGGGACATAAGGGTATAAAAGGCCACTCCTAACCAGGGGCGGATGCAGGAATTTCCTGAGGGGGGAGTCAGTTGTTGTTGAGCGTTTCATTTGTTTAGGAACCCCCTCCCCCTCTCCCTCATTTCACGCCCTAAACTTTACACATGCAGAAATCAAGAGGGGGGTCAGGACATCTGGACCCCCCCTCTAAATCCGCCCCTGCTCCTAACCCAGTTTTCATGAAAAATGTTTCAGGTTCTCTTAATTAAAACAATATATTGGAACACTAGTCTACAGTGGTCTCGACTCTTAGCATGAGCTATACCCTTACAACACATCACAGTCATCCTTCAGTATCTGCGCTACACCTTTTAATGACCGATTGGAAAGGGAAAGTTTCCTTGTCGAAAGCAGACACTAGCCAAACAACAAATGGGAGAAGCCTTCAAGCTCCCAAGAAACACTGAAAACAGGTTTGAACTAGTAGTTCTACTACACAATATTTTATTTTATGAGATAAAAGCTGACATATTTTGGCTCAAATGTTTAGTCAACTATTAAAAAAAAAATGCTACACTTAATTAAAGGACCAATGCAACAATATTTGTACTTTGCGCAAATACCGCTTAAAACGGATCCCTAACGTTAATGACCTATGAAACACGCGTTCGTTTTTAACCCCACGCAATAGAAGTTCCAGAAAAAAATTTAAGAAAAACGAGCAGCGTTCACCCCCTCAACTCGCAGCCAGAACAAGCGGCCACGTGATCTGGAGCCGATTATATGCCGCCAGTGTTGATCATAGCCACGCGCTGGGGTTGGCAAAGCGCAGGACACGCGCTGAGTTCCAGGCATTGTTATGGCTCGGCTGTTGTCGTCGTTGCAGCGATTGGACACCGGTCAAAACCCGAATGCTTCTCGAGCTAGCAATTGTCACGAGCCCAAGTCGAGTGCCCACGCAATGCTCGGGTCCAATCTATGAACCGCATTCAAATATCGTCACTTGGGTGTACTGGGACCCCCGAGTTACGTCATCAAATTTTGCAAAGGAGAGATTGAATGAAAAGGATCGCTTTTGTCCTTGAAATTACACCGCAACAAAGGAGTTTCTTGGCCAATGGCGTTGCGTGTGAGTATCCTTGAGTCCCAGGTGTGCCAGTAAGCTCGTGTATAGAGAGATACATTCCAATTGAATATCGTTGCACAGCTCCTTTAATGAGTATAAAAATTAAGGCTTCACAGCTATTTCTTCTTTGCCTACATATTATCACAAGTGGTATCGAAACATTGGTAGGCACCAATAAATGTGAGGAGTTACTTAATGAAAATGTATACAATGCAGCCCTTTTTCCTCAGCAACTACTTGTTCAATCAAAGCACCTGGCAAAATTACGTACGGCTGGGCCGCCGCATCTGGCAACACCACTCCCAAAGTACACGGCAAAGTATACTTGCTAAAGTCCCTTTTTTTTTTTTTCTGGAACAGAGCTTTCAAAATACATACCTAGATGTCGCCGACCGACTTTTCGGACGCCGGTAATTTGGACTTGTTCAATATTTTGAACCTAAAGGAGGAACCGCGACCCACCCGATAGAAATAGCGCATATTCACGACCAATGCATCGGACAGCTTGAAGTTCAAAAGTTTGATTTTTTGGACAAAATCGTCGTGAGCGTTCAGCGGGAAACACCATCGAGAAGCCACCATTTTAGATTCTGTTTTTGGTAGCGCTACAACTCGAGTACTTCCAAGTCCTACCGATAGGTGACGCTATGTTAGGGCTTTTTGTTTCTCCAGCTGCACGTCATTATCGTCATAATTGTTACCATTTCGCTTCGTTCATTCGCCATTCTGCAGTCGTGGACTTGCACCTCTCATTTCGTCTCGGCGAATCGTGTTACTGGACTACGCTGGATTGGACCTCGTGGCCCCATCTGTTCAAAGTGTCGCTGAGAAGCACAGAAAGTACTCGACCGTAACGCCAGAAAAGAAGGTAGCGGTTCTCGAGCTAACAGAAAGTGGCCAAACGCAAGCGGAGGTGTAACCTGACACAAAGCCCCATTGACGGCTTTTTTAAGCACGCTTAGACGTAATAAAGGCAAGTTATTTAATGTGCCGATTTTTTGGACTGCTCTATTATCGAACGTTTTTTCCGTCCCTGCGAAGTAAGAAAAATCGGTCGGCGACTGTATATACTAACTGCAAACTTTTTAATTTCGCTATCAATGAACGAATAGGAAAGTGATGTTAGGGTGAGCTGTCAGATCTTGCTCTGGGGTACATGAAAAGTTACAATGACACTCTAAATAGGCAGACATAGTATTCGTTACCATAGGGAAAATCAATGACCCTACTACAGTTTATGAATGCATACTCCTTGATAAAGATTACAATCTTTGTTGTTCTCAGCATTTCCCATAAACCATGCAGGGCATCTACACAAATCACCTACACAAACACTCTGCCTGGAGTTATGCGTATACTTTCCACAGCCGGGTTAAAAAAAAGCCGAGCAATGTACCTAAGAGCAAAGCAGGACAGAGGACACAATGCCCCTTCGTGAAGCGAGTATTACAAAACTTGATAAAACAAAATCCAAACTTTCGCACATTCTCACCTAAGGCTGTTGCTAGAAATATACAGAAATAAGCGCAATATCGCCAAACAACCGACAGCGATATGCCAACTGACCTCTCCAACTTGCCAATTAAACCAACAATGAATACAGAAATTTCATTATTTTCCTTAAGTCTATTTTCACCAGGATATACATGTCCGGCCCTAAACAGTTTTCATCGCAATTCCACTCCCGAAACGCAGTGGTCCAACACAACTGAAGAAGGTCAAGTTAAAATCGGGAAGAACCCCACACATAAACAACAAATCCTCCGATCAGGATTGTATTGTGCAGAACTACCCCCCCTCCACTCATTTGCACTTTCCCACGACCCTGGTACCAGTGGGATTATTACTAGGGTGACTAAAAAATGATCTGCAATCCAGTTATCTTAAAACTTCCATTAGCCACGCTGTCTTGAGAGAGCACATGGTTAAAATCAGCGCAAAAAGGCAGGAAACTGTAGAATAATACAGGAGACAGGAAAAGATGCTGAAATACCTAGTAGAAAAGCTCTCTTATAACAGATGTCGACCTCATTATTTTTGTACGAGGTCGACATCTCTCCGTTCACTGCTGTGCAAGTTTGAACTTGTTACGCCAGTTCAGTTGTGACTGCAGTGCAAGAAACAACGGCTGCCCCATTTGCGATTTGTAGAAAAGAGCAGCAAGCTGCGATTAATTTTTTGTGGTCAGAGGGTTAGTGTGGTGCCAATATTTTGTACGCAGTATGAAGAAAATGTTTTGCCACAAAGAAGTGCGAACGAGTTGGAAGTGTTTTGTTGCAAAGAGAGCAAGGACGCACAAGTGTCAGCAATGAAGTAGGAGCCAGACGCCCGTTCGCATCCACGACCAATGACAACACTGAGCGTGCACGTGAACCGGCTTTGTGGGATACACGAGTGACAGTGGATGATGTGAATAATCATTTTCAGATCAGTAAAAGAACCTGCCTGTGCAATACCGTAAACAACTTTCTTTTCGTAGGCTCAATATTTTGCAAATTTTGGTAAGCGTAGGTCTAGGGAACATTTTGCGGGCACAAAATTTCACCATTTGAAGCGACAAGCTATGCATTCATTACGGTGGAGTAATGATTAGACAAATTTTTTGCAATATTTCTCAAGTCTTGAAATTAGCGAAAATTAGGTCCTTGCGAAAATTAAGTCGTTTACGGTAATTCGCAAAAGACATGGGTTTTGAAAAGTTTGCACGAGATGCGCGGATAATTTTTTAACCACCCTGGTACGTCGACTGTTTGGCCGACTTGCGTGGCCGTGAAGCATGTATTCAAACTGAAATGACACGATTTATCCACGCTGCGTGTGCTCAATCTTTCAATTGCGAAACGCAACTTCGGAGTCGATTCGAGTGTTCCTCGAAGAAGCACCCGGCAAGCAGTGCGGCAAAGGAACAGGGAGGGGGCACTTACACTTGTCAGCCCGATCCAGTGGCTCGACGTAGTTGGAAGGGAAGAGTCCCACGTGTCCGCCCAGCTCCCCTTTCCACCAAGAGGGGTCCTCCTTGCTCAGCACCGTCACCACCTGACCCTTCTGGAATGACAGCTCGTCCTCGTGTTGGGCCACAAATGGGAACAGGGCACGCACTTGCTCTGCAAGACAAGAGCGAGGCGCCCGTCGTGAGACGACTAGGTGCGACTCGAAACTTCGACCGTGCACGAATTCCGCCGTGTACTCCACAGCACAAATGTCTGCGGTGCTGTCAAAGGCACGGGAGTGAGATTGTAGCTCGGGAAAACGCTTTATTTGCACGAGCATTCGCACGTGCGAGGTGCTTTCTGAATTAGTGGCAAAAGCGAAAAGATACCGGAGCAAAAAAAGAGACAAAGACACATAGAAAGATAAACAACAGTGTCCTTGTTTGTCCTTCCGTGCATTTCCTCCTTTTTTTTTTGTCCTTGTCTCTCTGCACTGTTGCTACTGGTAATATGAACCACCAACTTGCCCAAGCTTCCTTCGTAACACGCTTTCCTGAGCCACGCCCTGTGCCCACGAATTTGGCAGCATTACTATGGTGCCTGGAGCGCGTCTCGGACTGGTATGTTTAGCGTCCTATCCCGCCCACACATCAAAAGTGGTCCCAAGGTGGCAACAAAACGTCGGAGTGTCATGCTGTTGCATGTTGCGATCCTGGTGGTTGATCGTAGAAATGCTGGCGAAAACCACACGCGAACGTGAGTGTCGCTGTCGTCACGGCGTTCCATTCGTCCCAACTTCCGGCTGCTTTAGCTTCCATCGACTGTCGCATTGGAGAGCGACCTCCAGCAGAACAGGCGTCTGCCACACACACCACAGCTATTGGGACGCCGCCAGGTTCGCAACCGGCGACAGCACGACACTTCTATGACGTCATCAGGTGGAAATCGAGGGACCACTTTTTTGGCCGCGGTAAACACACCAGTCGGAGACGCGTTCCAGGTACCGTAGCATGACAGACATTCGCGAGATAGAGCACAGTGTAGCTTATTTTTCTCTTTTACAATGAAATGCCATCGCCCGCAAGGATGCTTGCAATCTGCACAAGCATCCAGGCTATTCCAGACACAGAAGTGTTTGTTAAGGGATGGCAGCAACCACGTCATTGCTGCTTTAAGTGGCGTCTCGGGTTACGTAAAGTCTGGCTTTGGGTTGTCTTACTGTATCTCTTTTTACAAAGGAAAACAAGGTAAGTGAACATAGATTAAGAGTGAACATGCCTGAGGAGGTCTGTCCTCCACCATGCAAATTTTACACCCTCCCCTCCCCTCCCCTCCCCTCCCCCTCCCCCTCCCCCTCCCCCTCCCCCCTCCCCCCTCCCCCAAGAAAAAAAAAAAGGTACAACTGAAACAAGGGCCTATTTTGACAGTCCGAAATGTCCAATTCAGACACTGGCCACCTAATGTTTTTTGGGGGGAAACAAGACTAACTACACATGTAAGTACCAAGTCATGCTGTGACTACATAAAGAGATGGACAGGATGATGCATCTTTTCTCCACCTTTACATAGCAAGCAAACATAAACTGAGACCACTGGCACAGGTAACAAGAATGTGTCGCATGTATTAGAATGTAAAATGGACTTTATGCAAACACAAATACTAAAAAAAATCTTTTTCTAATTTTTTTTTTTTTGTTGCAGATCTTTTTTTGAGATATGAGTGACCACATATTTTACGTAAAAAGGAATTAACAAAAAGAGGTTCTTCTGTGTCATACAGTGGTACATGTTAAACATAAATGCATAGCTTCCACGGACGTCACTTGGTCCGACATAATGGGGGAAAGGGCAAGCGAGAAGGTAGCTTCCGCAGTGATGACGAGACGCTTCTGGCCTGACCGTCACATGGCCTGCACAGACTGACGTCTCGTGCAAGCCATGTATTGTTTCTCACCCCAAGCTGAAGGAACTTGTTCCAAATGATATATATATATAGTATGTATATAACCCTCAACAAAATGGCTAAAGAATTGTCCAGTTCTTACTGCAGCAAAGTCTGCTTGTATGTGGATCGAATGAGTGGCCCCCAGAGCCGACCAGACAAATTTCATGGGGAGAAACTTGACAACCTGCGCTTCTTTCGCAAATCTGAAGTGGTTCTCCTGCCTCACACAAGCTGACGCCGACCAGCGAACAAAGGAGTACCAAGGACAAGCACGTCGGATGGCTGTATGCGTCGGTGAGACGCTTTCGCCTAAATACTGCCTCATCGTGAACTAACAAATGAGTGAAAAATTTAATTGGTTGATTAGGCGAGCCCGGCAGAAAACTTTGACGCCACATCAAACCAACAACTTAGAAATGCTTTCACCCTCACCCTGACCAAAATTGGACCCCTGGAGGCCCCCTAAAATGTAACTCACCCCCTTGAGTACTGGAAGCGAATGCAGTGGGCACAGGCGAACTTCTGCTGCTGCTTGCACCGCTACCTCCGAGGACTTTCACGTAAGATGCCGGGAACCATCCCGACTGCCTCTTCTTTCCTTTGACCTAAAAAAAAGAAAAAAAATTTTTATTTGGGAGCATTTGTGACATCTGGGGCAAAGATGGACATTTTACCTCGGCCTCTCTCTCTTCCTCATTTATGGTCAGCTCCAATGACACTCAAAACATGTTTTTTTATTTCTCAAACTGCATGGATGAGCCACAAAAATCAGATAGCCTCGTGATGTTTCTGTATAAAACAATACCCTTCATTAGATCATTTTTTTCTTATACATAAAAATATATTGTTTAAGACAGGGGTTGGCAACCTTTTGCAGCGGCGAGCAGAGCCGTCACGAAGCAGACATGGAGGAGGCCCGACGGTAGATCGAGAAGAGAAGGCAAAAAAACAGTGAAAACGTTTGACATTCTCTGCTCAAGTTTGGAGATGCCAGATAATGCCAATTGGAAGTTGTCCTTGTTCCCGTCTAATCCCATTTGAGGTAAAAACCGTTGTGTGGTCCTCGAGTCCGTGCGAAGAAGTGGCAGGGAAAGGGGTGGGGGTAAGGGGTGCTTTTCTGGTGTCGTTCCAGGGGCCGCACGAAACTGCCTTGCGGGCCGCGGATTGCTAATTCCTGGTTTAAGCATTGCAACACTGAGCAAATATTTCATAACATTCGAAGCGACAAACACCCTTCCAGCCGACGGGAGACTGACCAAAGGAGGTTTTTATACTTGACATCACACTGCAGTTCACATAGAGACAGGGCATGCGAGTAGACTAAATTTCTCGTAACGCAAATACTGTATGAATAAATTTTCCTTTTACAGGGAAAATGTCGGCAGTTTAAAAACAAATGTTTCCTTTTTGGAAGTGCAGTGTCTCCAAGGAAAATTCCTATGGGTCTGGTATGTAATCAGGCTCAACAATCGCGACTACCGTAAAATCCGGTAAGGGCGCCCTTAACCGAGGAATCGCCCATCCCGTTTTTCTGGCCAAATATCTGCAACATAAAAATTCCGAAACATCGCCCGCCCCCCCCCGCCCGCCCGCCCCGCCCCGCCCCCCCCCCGCCCCCGCCCCCCCCCCCGATTTCCGTTGGACCTTATGTTTTTCACCATTTATCTTTTCATTTTGGGTGGCCGTCCTTACGGTAGACCGAAAACTAAACCTCTCACATTTCCATCTTTTTGTTGTCCTTGTGGTTGCACGCCAACATCTCCCCACGCTAAACTCCCAGTCACACGGCCCCCAAATTTTTTTTCACGCACCACACTGTTTGTAGACCTCAGGCTCATTCTTACATTCAGAAATGTTCTCTGGGTTTGCAACCTCACTGGGCTTTTAGCGATAGGGCTAACCGAATGAGTGTGAGAGGGCACTAAGGTACGACAGGGGGCACCCCCGAGAGGGGCAAGCACGCACCTGTAGTTCTCCTTCCCACCAGCCACCTTCCGTTTTTTTGCGCACTTGGATGAGCTGCCCTTTCTCCAGGGTAAGTTGTTCCGGCCCGGTCGCCTTGTAAGGGGCAATCACCGACGCTATCTCCGGCTTCTTGGTCAGCTTCATGTTCTGAAACAGGGGGCATTTGGGATGAGTACTGGTGATGCAGGCAAGGCCTTTTTTCCGGTTTCAAGAGTGTGGCAGATGTTGCAATGCTAATACTATGAAGGCTATGAAATCTCAAGACCTGGAAGCAGTCCACATTTGACTTATACGATGCTTGTGGGGAGGGCTGATGTCCCCTGCAATTTTTTTTTCGGGAAGCACAACAAATTTTTGTCATTAAAAGATGTCAAACCCAAAGTTCGTGAGCCGCAGAATGCTAGAGCCCACATATTAGAGCCAGCCAGTAAATAAGTCTACGAAATTCCACGTGTGGAGAACCGAGTATTCCGGAAACAAAATGAATTGAGACAAACAAAATTAATGCTGACAAAATAATCAATTTAAAGTATTTAAAGTACAGGGTGTCCCTGAAAAAAGACTGTCTTTTATTAATCGCAATAATAAACCATGCGTCACCAAACACTCCCGTCCCTGCCAAAATGTAGCGCTAGCAGTCCGGATGAGATGCCAAAGTTTCTGAACAAACAGTTATCTTAATCTAAAATTTTAAGTTTTGAATATAAGAACGGTTAGTTCTGAAACTTTGGCATCTGGTCTGGGCTGCTAGTGCTACATCTGGGCAGTTCATTTTTGCGATTAAAGAAACACTACATTTTGGGGGGGGGACACGCCGTACGTACTGCAAAACAAAATACTGGAGCCAATCGCTCAGTGAATACTTTTTGTACCTCGTCTAATTAGTGGGTAGATCCCAATCCAGGCAAACAAAACCCTGTGCTGATATCCTAACTGACACTGTGGAACTCTCCATCCTTATCAGACTGATAAAATAAAGCCTTATCAGCCCCTAAAAGAGGAGGAAAAAACCTAATCCTGACAATGAGACCAGACAATTGTTGCCAGGCTGATTCAAAATATGAAACACCCCCTTCAAAGAGTTCTCTCTGCACCATATTATGGTGCTTGTGGACAATAAGGCACTAACAAAGAAATCTGGTGCTGAAAATGCACAGGACACAGCACACTTTTCATCAAAGCAACATCAGGCTACAGGTAAGCAGAAAGGTAAGGTGAGCAATTTGCATTATTATCAAACATAAGAAATAGATAGAAGTTGGAATGTGCCCATGTGTGCTCAGCCACTGCGCTAAAAGTAGCTGCACCATTTGAAAACTGGGTTCTTATGTTACATGCAACATGGCACTTACGTTACATGAAACACGGCACTTACGTTACATGAAGCATGGCACAGATAACTAATGATTAATCTAACTTGCATATAACAATTACATATTACAACCTCATGGATAGGATAAATAGTATCATCAAAACTACTCTAACAAAATTCCTTAATCTAATTTTCACAACAATCTTGCAACCTTCCAAATACAAAAGCAACTTTCACATACTTTGAATGCTCGATTGCTCCAAACATTTAATTTTTAATTCATGAGCATCGCGGCTACAACCCCAGATACGAGTCGCGGATATCGAGAGCAGAGGAATGTAAAGCTTTGCATAAGTTTACTTATCTGAAAACATATAATGCTACAGTGGTTACGGTACCTTATTCGTTAAAAGTTTAATTTTGGGGAAAAAAGAAAACCTGTATGTTTTTCTTCTTCTTTTTTGATGTCGATTTCTTAGAGAATTTTAGGATTTAAGTTTACAGTTGCATTAATCATACCTTGGCACCCGTCTCAAAGCTTTAGCTTTCATTGTACGTATAGCACCAATGTTAGTCTTCTATTTCACTCAACATACAATACCCAAGCCTTGGAAAAAGCATGTTATCTTCTTTCAGAGTTTCATGCAAGAAAATCAAGGTACCAGAGCAAACGTGTACATATTGATTGCACCTGTTTATTATTGATTATGAATATTGAGCTATGCTCCAACTTGAGTGGCAGGGGTTTCACATAGGTCCTCAACTCTTTGGATACATTGTCTAGTTCTATGCCCTTCTTTGAATAAAGGCCATTAAAAGCTTTAACAAGTTGGTTTTCTCCAGTTTCCCATGTGCTCCGCTGCCACGGCAAAATTGAACATCTTAATCTACAAACTTAGGACCTCTACATCAGTTAGCTCTCGAGTGGTAAAAAGAACTTTGGCATTTTATTTACTTTTCTCGCTTTTTCAAACAACCACAGGCCGCACGAGAAGGCCCAAACAGTCACTGAAGACTTAAAAAAAAACTGTGCAGCGAAAGAACACCAATAAAATACTGCAACAACAGGTGAGCTGGTAACAATTCATCTTTGAAAATGTTGAGTGAGATAAACAGAATAAAGGGGGAGACTACACACTCTTAAACACAGCTACAGTTTATTTGCCAGCCAACCAATAAAAAGCTTTCCCTCCTTGCCACTTGTGGGTGGTGTCCCCTTTTTCCTGTTTTCCACAGCCGAGGTTTTTCAAAAACGAATAAGGAACACACACACACAAGAAAATAACCCAATAAGTCCACCAGAGACTAGGCTACCAGATAAGATTCCAGTTGCCTTTGCAACAAATCAGGTTTTGGAAAACCAGTTTTCCAGAGATATGCAAACGAAAAAAGTTTTGTTGAACTGAAGACATCCACATGCGCCGTTCAATTGGCGGTATTAAATTTTGACACAAAGCTAACTAATCTGGTGTTTGTCTCTCAGAGTTAGCCCCGCCACACTGCAGGGGGTCACACATGCTCATTTGATTCCATACCAAATGCAAATATATTTCTGCAAGATGAACTGCCACATTACTATTCAGACTGGAATTGTGGCACCCAAATTCTATTTTTCTTGAAGCAACAAAACCGACTTCCAACCTTCAGAAGAATGGTGGCGGCTTAGTATGAGACAGTAAGGTTTTTCTGGCATGCCAGCACTAATAGCGAGCCGTTTCCTTTTAATGATTGTTTCCACTTCAGCTTCTCTGGGCATAATAATACATACACAAAGGCAATCATTTACCTTTGCTTTTGCATCACTTTGTGGAGTGTCTGGCCTCGATGGCTGTATGGTTAGAAGGGATTCAGTAGGGTTAGTGGCAAAGTTTGGCACAATCACCATGCATGCAGGTAAGGCAGGCATCAAGACTGAATCGCAGCTTCGAACGGTTCTTAAGATCAATGCAAGCTTGATCACACACACAGACGACCATAGCCCTAGTGCTCTAGCAACTGAACTGAACAAATCCAACATTAAAGACCAGAGTGTCGGTAAGATGGCTGCACTGCGCGCAACATCCGTTACCCACGCAAATTCATGGCTCAAAACACTAGATTCTTATTGATATAGATGCAGAATGAAACCGGCTAGGGTTGAATCATTTCATAAAGTAGAAATGAACAGTAAAAGGCAGTAACGCTTACCAAAGACTTTTATTCCCACATTCGTTCATTAAAAAATGAGGTCGATAACTTTGCTTTATGAATGTAGACTTTGGCACATAGAGCACCTAAAATTGCATGCAAATATGGCAACTGTGAAGTTCCGAGAGAACATCCGCCCCCGAGAGATTGCCCAATCTCGTTCATCTGGCTAAATATCCAAGATAAAAATTCCCAAACATCCATTCAGCATCCGATTCCCGTTGAACGTTACGCCATGTCCGACGGTAATCGCATTCGCCACGCAATCTGCTGTACCGATATTTCTGATAACCGAGTTCATAGAGGGTTTCCGCGTTTTTGTCCACGATCTGCGCGCGTGATATCGGTTCCCGTGACAGGCACGTTTGTAGCGGGTTCCCGCATGTTTATTGGATTATAAAACCTGAATCTGCTGAGTCTGCAATTTGCTGTATTTGATCCTGTGGAATCAGAGTTCTTGGCGGGTTTCCGCGAGTCCATTGTATGGTAAAACGTGAATCTGCTGCGTCTGCAACCTGCGGCGTCCTTTCCCGTGACACAGGAGTTTGTAGCAAATTTCAGTGTGTTTATCGCATCGTGAAACGCGAATTTGCGGTGTCCACGATCTGGAGTATCAGTTCCCGTGTCACGTGATTTGTAGCTGGTGCCCCGGTGTTTATCATTAATTTTTGACAAAGCTTAGCCGTGGCATCTCTAAAGACAGCCCACCCCATGTTTTTCACCATTTATCTCTTCATTTCGGGTGGGCGTTCTTTTGGAACTTTACAATAAACATAAATCTAGAAACGAAAAAATAAAGCAAAACCACATTTTAATTGAACACACCCCTTTTGAAACACCCCATTAACAAAAATGACAGCAAACACAAAACACTTACAATAAGACAACAAATTGGCAACAAGAAAGGAGCCCAGAGACTCAAACCTTTAATATCCTGCATTACTCCTTACGTCAAAGACAGCCACAAAGAATACACACAGGCAAGTTGCGTATGGGGACTCCCCAAACACAAGCGAGTTGAAAATGAGTTAGTGCCAGGAACGAGTGGGGCGACATGCAAAACTGCCGGCCATCGCTTTGGTATAAATTAGTATAACAGGCATCAGCGGCGACCACATAACAAAGAGCGACTGCATGCATTCCTTCTTGTCGGGCATCACGAGGAATCGGCCCTGAACGACCAGTCCTTCGCTCGGACTGTCCGTCTTCGCCGTTCACCCATGTTCACGGGCTTGTGCTTCTGGCCACACGCAAACGAGCGCGCAACTTGTGTCTCAGAAAGCCAAAAGATCTACCTCTTGTCCCGAGAGGCCCACTTCTTCGTTAGTTGGCAATGTGGTGGCAGATGGAATGAAATCCTCAGAGATGGAGTTCTTTTTGCCCTAAAATGAACAGTTGATTCTCAAATAAACAAATCATCGCAACCATTTTGTTTCCTCAAACACTCGGGTGCAAGGGTTGGAACATAGCAAACTGCATTTAGGAATAAAACAAACCAGAGAGAGACATTCAAAATGACTTTACATCTCAAATACAAATTTTAAGTCACACACAGTGGCAACCAAGTATTTATTAAAGTTAAAGGAGCTGTGCAACAATTTCAGGGCTTTGCTTAAATAATTGTGGAAGTTGATGCCTGACACTTCCGAAGTGAACTACAGAAAACAGATTTTGCCTGGATACCCTAGTTTTTATTTTAAAAAATGAAAATGATCCAGGTTTTTGCTGCCTCTCAACTCGTACATCGTCTTCCGGGTCACGAGCGCAGTGACAATAATGGGGTAGGCGCGGGGTTCCGGCCAAGTTCTCTCTTTAGAGCCATCAGTGAGCAGCGAGAACTCATCCGCTCGCGACCGCGTGACCACGTGCTGGCGGGCGCCGCGCGAACAATATGGTGAAAGGAGAAAGTCTCATCCGGATTCGGCCATACCCGTCCGGCCCTGTCCCCCTCCCCCTCCAGCTTCTGGTGGCTGTTCGCGGTAGCAGATAGAGCCGACGGTTTTGTAGACCTAGGATAGATGGCGCCACTAAAACTCCGTATAATAAAAGCTTTGTCGATGATACCAGGTTTTTTACGCATTTATATATATGTTGGAACGACAAGATTTATAGAAAAGTTACCTTTTATCGAGCAGGTATTTGCACAACTTGCTATCTTTCTACAAGATTCCCCATTGACGTCATGCCGCGTGTTTCTCATGGTCGCCGCTCGCGGCTGCAGGTCAGGGAATATTCTAAGTTTTGCCTCACTATTATGCGGCGGAATCGCAACATTTCTATGAAAAAGGTCTGTTTTCTGTCATTTGTGACAAGGTGAACAATATCAAAAGCAGAAGATGCCAATTCTTTCAACGTTAAAATCGTTGCACAGCTCCTATAACTTAGACAACAAGACCTAAACTATGAAACAATCTGAATTTAAGCATAGTACCATTTAATCTGAGGGTTTGTTAGGAGCCTTATGAAAAAGCTGCTGTTGCCTGAGTACCTGCACAGAAGAGCTGTTTTCCAAAACAGTATGCTTACCGTAAAATATCGGGGACGCGCCCACCCTACTTTCACTGAAAACTGACATAATCTAGACATGGGTGCTTGTACGGTCAAATCCTGCGCTTAATATATAATTTGCAGAAGTGCCAAGTTTGGAAAATGTTAATAGTGGGCGCTTGATTGAAGTGGGCACTAACGCGGTATTTTACGCACACGCATTCTCTATACTGTTCTGACAAGCTGATTGGCATCCCATTTCTTGCTCGGTCGACATTTTAAACATTTTGTCTCCACACACTTGCTTGATAGTCGCGCACTCGTAAGACGCTCCCCAACATTTTTCTACTAAGCGAGTATACACTATTCCAATGTTTATAAAATCCACAGCCCAGAGCGCAACTTCCACACCCCAGCATGCTAACGTCGGTTGCATCGGAAAGCGAGCGAACCACATGCCAGAGGCACAAATGCCAAAAAACGGCACCGCTCAGACGCCTGTTTCTGCAATGGCCTGCTTCATGGTCCATAGGAACTGTTTCGTGGTCTATAGCCCAGTGTCCGAAATCCCTGCCCCCAGAGATAAAAATGGGGAAACAATCTCAAACACAGGCTCTTGTGAAGGGAGGGGCTGCACATAAAACCAGATTACAGTCAACCCTCACTAATTCAAACTTGCAGATAATTCAAACTCCCATCAAGTCTCATTCTATGCGTCTCTATGGGAGGAAACTCCCAGTACCGTATTTATTCGCGTAATCCTTGCACCCCCAAAAATGCAGCGGCGAAAGTTGCCTGCTCGCGAAACCGGCATGATGCACGCGCTCTCCGCCACCCGCCTTTTCCGGCGCCGCGCTGCTCCATTTGGCCAGAGTCCTTTAATGCTCCAAGCGCCCTAAGGCGCCCTAGGCAGCCTAGCGCCATCTCTCAGACGCTAGTCACACTGTCGTTGAGCCGGTTTCGCGTGCGCACAACTAGAGTGCGTTCGCGCAGCCCGCGGTCGTTGCGTCACCTACGACGAACAGCGATGCTAGGACCGATCCGGACTGAGGTCGTTATCAGCGACGTAGGTAAGTCTTAACTCAGACTGTGTTTGCAAATAAATCTTGCTTTGTGTTGAACCTGTGGTTTTATTGTTAAGGTAAGTCCTGTATTGGTAGTTCTCAAACCTTGTAGGTAGCTGCCAGTGCGAGAACCCCAATTTGCAGCCACTTTGTTTTTTTTTTAGACCTTTACGTTCTTGCGGAAAATTTTCCTTGCGCAATTCTCGCACCCCCCAACTTTCCAACGATTTTCCAGAAAAAAAAGTGTGAGGATTATGCGAGTAAACACAGTAATTCAAACTCTGCTTTGTTCAAACAAATTTTCTGTCCCCCTTGAGTTTTAATTAACAAGATTTGACTGTATTGCTTTTTACAGCACTCTTGCCACTGTGTTGTTCTTGGAGCTTTGTGACGATGCATTCCTGACGTTCTTGCACTACGATATGTGCGAAGGTTTCTAAGAAAACATGGAGTCTCGCAAGAAGCGCAGCCCCCTACTGTGCCATGGCGTCAGCACGAACAAACATGGCGGCACCCACGGAACAGGGAAGACACTGGTCTTTAGGAACGGTCCGAAGCCCACCTTGTTGTTGGCCTCGGGCTCGCACGGGCGGACGTAGTTGCTGGGGAAGATGCCTGTCATGCCCCCGATGGTCCCCGTCCACCACTCCCCTTCCTTCTTGTTCACAATGAGCACGTCCCCGGCGAGGAAGCTGAGGTCGCCTGGTTCCTGGGACTGGTACGGGTAGACGGCCACGTACCGCTCGCTCACCACTGCAAGGACCGGAGACGAGAAGTAAATAACTGGGGTAGACCCCTTTCGAAATTAAGCCAGGCAACTTCGATTGCTATCATCATCGTCTCAGTGTATGGCATCTGTGCCATACTAATGGCAGTCTTTTTGAGACCATTGGAAGAAGAAGTTCGACATGCTACCAGGCGGAGAACGTACGGCACCTGTACGTTCAAGATGTCGGTACAACATGACGCACGAATTGAAGACAGCAGCTGTGGAAGCGTTAGTTTGGAATGTGATCCAATCAATCTCTCGGTACAAGTATGGATCTGAAACCTTTTGATGTCAGAAATCTAATCGAGGGGCTTATCGATCGCCACTTCGAACTGGTCAGTTCTCATGTTTGCACCATCGAAATGGAAACGAATCGAGAAACAATTACGAGGTGATCGAAGAACCAATTCTCATCTGCCACTGACGTGCAAAAGTGACCGTGCCCGATGAAACACAGCTTCATGAATACTATTAGTTTGTCAGAAGTGAAGCTGCTTTTTGAGCCACCAGGAGCACCGATTTTTGGAATGGGCCTATTGAAGAACGTTGCAGCTACAAACAAAGAGGAAACTCATTGAACAGAGAGTTTATCTTGTGCAACAGGACAGAAATTTCAATTGCACTCTGTAATCTCGAAAATAAAATGAGGGCCTATTTTCTCCTCTCGAGGCTCTTAAATGTTCTGGAAAACCTGAACAGGCTTTTCACGCCGTTGCAGGCGCCGATTAGATGCATCTGAATTATGCCCCGGCATCCGACACCGAGTGACATTGTGCCAATCCCAGACATTTCTGTGTTTTCAGAGACTAACCGGGAGTGTCCCAAGCTGGTTCCCTCCCCGGAAGAACTGCCTCACGAAGTGGTGGATAACAGGGATGTCTGCCATGTACAGCAGGCTCACAATAATTCAAACTCTGATATTTCATACTTCTGGTTAATTAAAACAAGTTCCAAAATTTTTGTTGTCTCGCTATGTTTTCAATGTATTTACAAGCCGCTTAATTGGAATGGCGTGTTCGTGCAATTCATACTTTCTGTTCTCAAAGCCCCATTAAGTGCGCCTCTTACTGAAAGCAAAACCCGAAAAGCTTGCTTCGGTGGGTGTTGCTTTTCTGCGGTGCACCAGTGTTAATAGTTCACAATAGACAGCTTGTTTACGGGATAAACAAATTCAATTTTGTATTTTGATGTGTCATGTGCTGTCAAAGAGTCCACGATAGACAACATTTTCGAGGGATGAATAAAGTAATCTCATACATTTCACCAATGTTTACATTAACATGTCATACACTTCACCAATGGCATACCTGCTTACGATTAGCAAGCCTGTGTAGAGGAAATCAATAAATGTCTGCTGTGTACGAGTAGCCATCCATATAACAAATCATTTTATCTTGCATGATATATAGATACATTTCTGAAAATTCAAACAAAATTCGCGGCTTCCTGGAGTTTGAATTAGAGGTTCAACTGTAGTTGCAGTAGCGAGGCACTTCAACTCCTTCAAAGGTCTGTTCACCTCGATGAAATGGAGTTCAGAGCACCAACTCAATTTTCTGGTCACTGTCCGATGATCCTAAAAATGTCAATATTAACGTAAATCTACATTAGAACCTGCCAGTTACTACTGAAAACATTCCTGACAAATGACCGTTGATTTCGCCCTAATCTGAAATGCATGAAGCTCCAAGCAAACCAATACCAGTTGGAACGTGCCAAGTGGTATTGTCTGGCATGTTCCCAGTTTTGGATACAAGATGCCTAGCAGAAAAGTTTGCCTTTGTTGGACAGATCTTTTGTTCTGTAACAATACCTTAGCACAAGAGTGGTTCCATTTGTGTATTACGAACCTGAACGACAGCTCTGTAAATTTTCCCAGAACACCTTTCAAAATTCACACATGGTGATCCATTATGCACGATAGATTGAAGGTGGCTACCTGGGAAGTCACTGGGAGGTTCCGGAGGTACATCTCCAAACTCCTGAGAATCGGATATTTGATTGCTGAAAAAAAAGAAAAAAAAAAAGAAATATTAGAATAAGATCTAAGTATTCCTTCATAATGAACAGCAATCAGTGAACAAAAAAGAAACAGGAAAAATCGCCACACTTGCACTTACTTGTTGAAGGACTTCATAGGCCCAGACACAAGCCTCACGTAAGACTTTGGGAACCACCCAACCTGGCAGCAAAGAGATCACCAATGAATCCCAAGAAAGACAAAGCGAGCAACTCATGAGACCGGGACTGAATGAAAGCAGTCCGTAGCCATGGTCTTATGCGGGGGAATGCAAAAAAAAGAAGTCAACTGCAGTGCAAACTGCCCTCACCTTCCCTTCGAAGTCGCCGTACCACCACATGTCCTGTTGTTCTTTGACGGTGATTACATCCCCTTTGTTGAAGGAAAGGTGGTTCTCCTTTTTCGCCCTCCACGGGAACAGGGCCTGGGCCTGCAAACCCTGGGGAGCCGCCTGGCCCTGGGTAAGGATAAGAAAACCAAACGTGAGCAGTGCTAGCACCTTATTCGGCCCACCTAAAGGGGCGATGCAACAATTTCAACCTCGAAAGAATTCAGTTTTTAATTTTTACATTGTTTATCTTACCGAAAGGGATGGAAAAACCACCTCACTCTTTCGAAACATCACGATCCCGTTGCGTAATAGCAAAGCAAAGAACGGGAATATTTCGCGATTTGCAGCCCCGGGGTGGCGGCCATGGGGAACTAAGGTGCGACGCACACCCGGGTGCATAGTAATGAGTTGGCAAGATGTGCCATTATGTACTCGATCTAATGCTATATTTGACAAATATTGTCGTTTCAACGCGAGTAAATGCGTCAAAAGCCTCGTATAATGGACAAAGTTGTAGTACCACATTCACTTTTATTGGCCCCATCTGCCCGACGTGAGAAAAGCCATTCCTCCCTTGAGCCTCGCAACCACATCAGTCTAACTTCCTTACAACAAAACAAGTGCTGGGCCCACTGACCTCTCCGGGCACGGGCGAAGTGGTGTCCATGGGGGGCACCCTGGGCAGCTGGGTAAAGCAGGAGTTCTCCGAGGGCTGCAGAACATCCGGGGCGGCGGCGAGCTCGACGGCGTGCTCCCGGCCGTTTTCTGGAGCCTCGGAAATTCCTCTGCAGGAAAGCATTTGCAAAGAGAGCACGACACGGTTAAATGTCAGAGCCGTGGGCGCCCAAACTCTAAGCACTTGCAGCCTCACGCTGTTTCGCTGTGCCCAAGTTTCTCAACAGCATAATAAACTTTTTTTTCTTTTGGTTTCAGACAGCAAGGCAAATCTTTTAATATATATAACATAATGTACTTTATTTCTGGGAGCCCTAAAATGGCCATACAGATTTCCTGTTAACTGCACCAACACAGACAAAACCAAAAAAAGCAAAACAAAGACAACACTAAAGACATTAAATAAAATCAGTCGGAGCAGAGAGAGTAAAAAACATCAAGGAGAAGCTATCGAAAGCTCAAAACCATTAACACAATAATTCTACAAAATAAAAATAAATATACATAAATATAGACAAATATATTAACACGCTACGAGGTGATCAAAAGCTCGTACAAATAACAGCGGTATGTGGAAATGGGGGTAACAACGCCATCCAGCAACAGCAATCTAAATATTTTTTTAGACTGCTCATGTAAGCATACATGATTTGTCAATGCTACAAATTAACTTTACTATTCCGACTGCTTTGTCAGTGCCACAAATCAAAATTTCATTGTTCTCACCGCAACCAGATTAAAATGAAATATGATCATCTGAACACATACTCTCGCAAATAAAGTTTAAGCTTATTTTCTCGTTCCCTCGTCATTCGACACATTTTTTCTAACCCAACAAATTCTAGCGACTTTCCCTCCAAAAAAAACAAGTCACCGAAATGCACCGACGCTCCATGAAAAATGAATGCCAAAAAGAAAAAGGAACGTTGCAACTCGTCTGCAGATATTCTCGACAAATGAAAAATCAAAAAGCCCGGCTGCCTCACGCACTCTAGGGTCCTCTTCATCTCTGTTCCCACGATGTGGACGGTCTCGGCCGCGGTGAGCACGTCTGCGGCGGTAGCCACGGCCTCGCCCGGGACCTCCGCAAAGGCCCCCGGCGGGGTGGAGACCAGCTTTTCCACGTAGGACTCTGGAAACCAGCCTGTCTTGCCCCGCAGCTCTCCCCCGAGCCACCCCGGTTCCCCATGCTGGTTCTCCTGAACCTGGCAACCGGCACGCCGGGGAAGCGGTAATGTCACCCTCTGTGCTCCCGGAGAATGCTCCCTCCGACATTAATGCAGAATTGCATTCTTACTGAAGCTAAATCCAGCCTTCAAAAAGTGAGTGAAGCGTGCCAAAGGCGAGAATAATTGGCCTAGTTGGCCGGCTGCCCAACACCTGCTCCGCGACCTCCACTGATCACACAATGACACTTTGAAATAAAACAATTTTAAAAATCCAGCTGCAAAAGTTGGAAGAAAAAAAGTTACAAGAGAAGGCAGTGGCAACGCTGACACTGCTTGAAAGGTTCAGACTGGAGCTGGAGTCTGCAGCACTCCTCATAAAACACAATTTTACGTACAACGGTCTAATTAGAAGCCGCAAATAATTTCAAATTTTCAGCTTTGGCTCGATTCGCGAAAGTTTGAGCCCGCAAAAATTAAGTCATTTACAGTATATGAAAATTAGCAACCACCATTAAAACGAGACTTTTGCCAAGAGAGAGATAATGGGTCTCTATACATCCATCAGGTAACCCATGGTTGCAACACAATGTGCCACAACAGTAAAACTCAGCTTTTGGAAAATTCTCCGTGTCCCTTAAAGATGATATTTTGGTCGTGTTTAACTGAAACGCAGGCAACTAATTAAAAAAAGGGAAACCACTGCAAACAAGTTTTTACTACAATATCCAATTTGACTTTTTGATTTGACTACAATATTTTGACCCAGATGAAAAGAAGTAGCAAACGCTCAAAGTGCAAGCCTTTTTCTTACGACACAAAAAAAAACACCGGCATTTATTGACCTACACACACAGTGAAAGCAAATGAAGCATCTTAGATTTTGCTAATTAATCAAAAAGGCATAAATAAATGCCTCTCATATTCCCCAAATGTGTATTTCGATAAAAAGATACATTTTTGGTCAATAATAGTATGTGGTGACATAGATCACAAGCGAGTGCAGCATTAGATTCAAGCCTGCACAGCAGGTTCTCGAGAATCCAGAAGGTAATGCAGAGCGAGAGTTTGTCTGCTTCTTGCACAAGGGTTGCGATGATGTTAGAACGCCAAACTCTTATTGGCCGATTAAAAAAAAAAAAAAAAATGGTGGGTAGACTTTAAGGCACTTAGCATTGAGGTCTACCCACTATCCTCTCAATCAAAGCCAATAGGAGCTCTGCGTCATTCTGACGTCGCTGCAACTGCTACGCAAGATGCAGACGACTTGATCTCCACATAGCCTTTTCATTCCATCTTATTTGGACACTCCAACCCCGACAAGTACATTGCTATAAGGTATAAAACCAACTTACCATGACTATGTCCCCAGGCATTATTGACAGTTCATCCTCATTGCGTGCTTCAAAGGCGTAGAGAGCTCTGTACTTGACCAAACCGGTAGATGTAGTGGTCTGTTGCACTCCATCTCCTAAGCCCGAGGAACAAGCACAGAAAATCCAGGTAGTACACAAGTGAATGTACAAGGCATACCATTCACAGAATGCTTTCCTTAACGAACTAAGACCCCCACAGCTAAAAAACAAAAGTGCTTCCCTGCAACGGTCAACCAACCTGGCCAGGAGTCCACAGGTGCAAATTCCGACTGATCGTTCCACGCGTCGACCGACGCAACATTTCCTTTTTGCTTCTTCAAGGCCATGACTTGCTGCTTCTTCTGCGTGAACTCTTGCAACAGGAGCTCGTTCTGTTGCACCAGCTCGGACAGTTTTTCTTTCAACTCCTGAAAAAATGGACGATTAAACTGAGTTGCAGCGAAGACACACCCTCGATCCCAAGCCTGGAAACAGGCATGTAGTCACCTTGAGTTGGGCATTGTTGTTGTTCACATCTTGTTGCTTCGTCTCAGTTTCCTTTTCTATGTTCGACAAAGTCGTGCGCAGCATGTTGAGTGAAATTTCTTTGCTACCATAGTTATTCATTGCTAGAGAATATGTATCTAGAAGGAAAGAAACGATTAACTGTGAGTGACTTTCCTCTCTTGGGTGCATCTGTAGCAGTCCTTCTTCCGAGAGACCAGGAGGGGACTGTTCATTCACACAAGGTATGTTGCACTTACTGTTGGAGCCACCTGCTGCCATTTTCAATCGTCCCTGATGACTGAGCTTTTCTTGATTTAGAAGCAGCATCTTGTCACTGATTTCCTGGAATAACATACAACACACATTTTTTAAAGGTTATTTGCATGAAATCATTGATACACTCATTCAATGTAAGAAACGAAAAGTACTGGCAAGGCTACCTAGGCAGCTTTTAGGAAATGCATACCATTTCATGCAAAACATACTTATGCCTGCCTCCCCATCACTGTCATAATTTGAGTAGCAACAGGGGAAGACAGATTTAGTACTAACTTCTGGATACTACTCACAGCCAGATCAATCAAATAAATCGGCAGAGCACAAGGCAATTGTGCCAAGATATGGAATTGTATACGTTAGTGTCAAATACTGCTATGCTACAACATAGAATTACCATTCCCTCCCCTCTCATTTCACAAAGAAATGCCACATACAAAATGCCTTCAATTGAGACTTTTCTAGCTCTCCGATCTCAAGGATCCCTTTTTTTCCTTCCACACTCTCACAAAAAAAAAAAAAAAAAAACAATTGGAAAGCTATTAAATTGAGTTCACAGTAATTTACATGCTAGAAACAAAGGTGGCAACATCCGACTCTGTGTTATCAATGCTTAATTAAATTGTTTCAGCTAGACTTCAACTCCAACACCTGGGTTTGTAAGAACTCGGTTTGCGCACCCTGCCTCAGGCGCTGCAACAGCTACAAAAAGTGTCCATTTGAACAAAAGAGGACAGTGTTACCATTACAGGTTGACAAACGGCAAGTAACAGAGCACTTCGATGAGAAAAACTATGCTTTGTCTTATGCTTAATGTACAATGCTGTCAAAGCTGCTGGCATGATCTTGTAGCTTTATCTTGATGGTCATATGCACATGATTTTATGCACTAGCAGCGTCGTATGCTATGGTCACCGACAAGGTGAGACTGGCAGGAAGGAGCTTCAGGTGCCCCGCCTCCAGTGTAAGCTTCCCACCTTCGACAACACTTCAGCTTCAACAACGCTTCACCTTCAACTTCACTTCAGCTTGTTCTCACTCCATCAGCGACTATGAAAAAGAGGACGGACACACTCTCCTGGACGAACAAACTCCCGTTGCAGCTCATAAATGGACGTACCTTCAGTTCCAGCTTGGTCTCGTTCAGTTCCTTCATCTTGGCGTCCCTCTCCAGCCTCATCTCGTCGATGCAGGCCTTCATCTCAGCTACGCCCTTTTTAGTGTCGGCAAGCTTCAGGTTGGACTCGTTGATCTTGTTCTCCTGCAACGGAAGGAAAAAATCCTCCGTCACGACTTGACCGGCGCTACGGTCGGGCTGGAGACCGCAGGCGGTGCAAGGTGCAGCGAAGAACAAAGTTCAAACCCCAAAAAGCTACTATAAACCTGCCAAGGCTGCACTGTATTCTACTTCTGTCGAGTTACGAAATACATAAATCCCTAGAATGAAGGACCTATCTGTTCCTGTTTCAGATTACGTGCCTTTCAATACAGTTCCCACTTATAAAAAAAATTGTAGTAATAACTGTATAAATTCAGGGGTCTCTTTAGTTTCATCACGGGGATCCTCACATTTCTAAGCATCTAAGAAGAGCAGCACATAATTCTGGGAGGCACAGACAAATTTCCAAACGAGTGATCTGTACAGAAGCAAAAAAGGAATACACCCAGCAGCACCTCCTCTGTCAAGTTTGCAAGCCACTATTAAACCCTCTACCCCAACGCCCGCCCTTTCCCGATAAGCCATTCCCTCGGTCCGTGGCATTGTCGGAGCCTAGAGAACCAAACAACAAGGAGAAGAGGGAGGCTTGCCATCTGCTCCAGCTGGAGGAAGATGCTGGTCTTGTGGGCCTTGAGCCGGCTCATGTTCTCCTGCTCCCTCTGCTTCTGCGACAGCAGCTCCTGCATCCGCTGCTTCTCCCACTCCAGCTGGCGCTGGCGCTCCATTTCCCGACGGGCCGCCTGACGGGAAGACGACGAACGCAACACCCTTATTGTGAGGAGAGAAAGCCACATTCTCAAACGAATCTAAAACTACCCGTTCCCCAATTCAGCATTGAATATAGTCCTGGGTGTGTGACCCATGACATGGACAGCTTTGATTTGGAACATAACCCATCTATCAGATCTGATATCGGGCCACTTAGAGAAAAGATATGAAGCAATGATAAGAATGCAGAGCCTTTCATATAATCAATGTCTCTTTCTAGAGTAAAGATTTCAAAACAAGGAATACATTGGTTGAGCAAGGAGAAATTGCCCAAGGAGGCCAGTCTTGGCCACACGTCAAACCAATCTGTTTCAAGCTCAGGCAGCATCCCTGCAAGAGGTGCAAGGGCATCCAGGGGGCCCTCCCTACCTCCCTCTGCTCCAGCGCCTTCCTCCTCTGCTCCTCTTTCTCCTGCTCCAGCTCTCGTTGCCGAGCCAGCTGCTTCTCAAGCTCCAGCTGACGCCGCCTCTCCTGCTCCTGCCTGCAGACCCACAACACCGCCATGCCCCACAGTAAGGAGGCGTGCACACACAAACAATATGAAATGCCTAGAGTTGCGCAAATATTCGAATAATACATTATTCAATATTTGCTTTCTTGCGAACTGTAATCATATTTTTGGAAGTGTTGATTGCAGCTGGTTAGACTCGTTGAGTGCGCTTCTTTACTGAGCACCGGTGCACCGCGGAGAAGAACCACCTGCAGGGCTTGCTTCCGCAGGTGTTGCTTCTTTGCACTGCACCGATGCTCGGCAAGAAGTGCACTCAGTAGGCTAAAATGCCACAACTACACTTCGAAAAGTACAAATATTTCAGCTGCAAGCTTAGGAGGAAAGCCCCCTTGAAATCGATTTTCTGCAGGTGTGTGCCTGGAGTTTTTAAAAGAAAATGGAAATTAAATTTTAATATCTACATCACAGTAAAATTTTCAAAATTAAACTGGCTATTACGCATGAGTAAATGTTAGGCAGAGGTGCTATGGCAACCTGCCTTAATCGTTCGTGAAAATACATATAAGATATTTGCACGTAGCAAGAATATTTAAAAGTCCCCTCAATTAGGTATAGCTGGGCATTATAGGTTTAATTTAATGTCAAATTCATCATTTACTTGCCATCCCAATGTAGGCATTGGACTTTCTGAGGCTACGGTTGATATAGTTATAATAAAATTAGCTTATAAATGAACAAGTGGAAGCTTGAGAACGACATTCATGAGTTCAGCTGGGTTTTCGTTTTAAGCATGGTGCAGTAGTGAAAGGCTTATAGAAACTATTTGATATTCGATTAGAAAATATTCAATCAAAACCACTATTCACTTCGAACTCAAAATCTACTATTTCCACTTGCCCAGAAATGCCCCATCCTCCGCTACAGTAATGAAAATACATCTTAAAGAAAGACCTTAATATGTAATGAGAATATGTTCCTCCCACATTTGAGTGCAGATGCAGCAAACTTTCATGCGGGCACAGTGCACATGCTCCCATAAGCATTTCCACAACTAAACTCTGAAAGCTTGGTATGCACCTACCGCCACGCTACCACATAGATAGTCAGTACTGTACCTTGCGTATTCCTTCCACCTTTCCCCGTGTCCTTTTGTGCCGATGTATTAAACACATAGCATTTATTATGAGTCCAGTTCTTTGCATAAGGCCATGTGACCATGCGACATCACGTGACAGACAGCATAACCTTGCATGACCTCCTCTGTTGTCATGAGGTCATGTGATGTGACCCCACATTGCCATGTGATACCATAATGTCACATAACCTAAAGTCATGTAACACGATCATGAGACGTAAGGCCATATGATCACAAGCCTTCCAGATGGTCACCTAACACTGTGACATCACATGACCCCCAAATGCTATGCATTCAAAGCGCCTTTGGGACGTACTACCAATAAAACGGGCAGTTTCTCCCTCTTGTAACAGAACATACCGTATGCGCTCCCTCTTCTCCTGCTCCTCGCGGTCCTTGCGCTCCCGCTCCTGCTGCTCCTTGCGCTGGCTCTCCAGCAGGGCCTGCCTGCGCTTCTCCAGCTCCGCCTGGCCCTTCTCAAAGTTGGCACGCCGCTTGTCCTCAAACGTCGCCAGGCTGCGCAGCTTCTCCTCCTCCGCCCGGGCCTCCCCCGCCGGGCCCGACAGCTCCGTGCCGGACGAGCCTGCGTAATGGGCAACCGAGGCCAGAAATATTTGCTAAGGAATGCAAGTACCTTCTTCACAAGCCATGTTCCTTTTTCAACCTCCATGTGAACAGCTGCAGTCTGCTGCAACATAGGATCTGCAACAGAAGCTTTATTCTGTTCGTGTGCGTAGTTATCATAAGTGCAAAGCAACGATGGAGGTGAAGCTCCTTTCCACAAAATTCTGTCCTCAAGTTCAGCAAAAAAGGGAACTTCTTTGAAGCAGTTAAATATAATTAGTTGCTTAAAGGGCAACTCCAGTCCACTTTTTCGATTTTGGGATTATGACTGTTTTTAGTGCAGTCAGCGTCCCTGAATTGCAAGGTGTAATTTAGCCGCTCAAGGCCCCGGCAACACTGGAAATCAGCCGTTATGTGAACGTGACGTCGGGATCGTTCTCGTTCAACGAATATGCAGGCCGAGCGGCACCTACCTCTGTTGCGCTAGCCGTCTAAAGATAGGAGGTAAGCTGATTTTGCTTTAATTCTGTATACGTGGTAGTTATCCACCATATGTAGCAAGAGTTAGTGCATATACCCCAAAGCTAGCGACTGGAAAACCCGTGAACTCGTTCGGTGCCGTACTCGGTGGCCGCCGCCGTGCGTCCACTATGCCGTACTCGTCGCTTGTATACCCAAAAGCTAGCGACTGGAAAACGAGTGAACTCGTTCAGTGCCGTACTCGGCGGCTGTCGCCGTGCGTACGGTCTTCTGTACTCGTCGCTAGGCCTAAATTGTCATCGGGGCTCCGTGTACAGAGCGAAGTTGCTGTACGCCGCGCTGCCAGTGACGTACAGTACTGGGGGCCCTCTCACTTTTGCGCTGCGGGTTAGTCCCAGACACGAAGCTTTGAGGCTCTCCGGCGTGGGCCGCGGCGCCCGAACACACGTGTGCTGGGTTGTAGACGTCTGTTTTTTCATTCTTCTTTTTTTCCTCGGGCGCGTAAAAGCCGAAGCCCAAAGTCATTTCGTCGAACAGCGTTCACCCACACCTTCACCAATTTCCGGTCCGTTTGAAACTTGTGAAAAAGCACCTCCAGGTTGTGCAGCGGGTTGTTTGAGCAGCCCACAGCGCTACAAGTTGTACTCGGCATCTTTCGAGGAATGGCTGGCCAGTCTTGTGCGCATCGAGTTGCTCGCTAAACCGAGTCTTGGAGTCCTCACAAGCAAATAAACAAAAGGCTATACCAAAGCTACACGGGCTACAGATAAAAGCAACGACTAAACACGCCAATCACAAGCAGAAGTAACGGTGGTAGCGGCTCAAAGAAGCGCACTGCACGCAACGCCCGAACCGGAGGAAAAAAAGAGAACGATACTGACGTCACGGCCGAATGTTGCTTTAGCGATCGGCAACCCGCTGGCCGCCCGCTAAGGAGCGGCGGCTCACGGCAGGTTGCATTTTTATTATCGGCATTAGTTGAGAATGCGGCGTCCCCCGGACGCAATATTTTGGCTCGGGTCGTATTTTGCGTCACTACAGTGATACCAGTAATTTATTTCATTTTGAGTTTTGGCCGGAGTTGCCCTTTAAGTAGCATCGTCAATTTCAAACAATATAGCATGGCACTCAAACTTCCTCAAGCAGGCCATACAAAAATGGAAAATTGTTTTCTGATTAAACATCGATACCATTCAGCCTTCATTCACTTAGTCTCTCATAGCTGCCACTAACTCACAGCCATGAGGTTGCAGTCTACTTCAGGGTCTTGGTTCTGTAGCCCAAGATAATCCCAGGTACGACTGCACAGTTGGCAACTGGTCAAGTAAGAAATGAGTCACATAACTCACTACAGGCATGCAAGTATATAAAGAAAAAAAAAGGACAGAGCAATGCTGACCACTGCATGGAAGAGTGAGGCAAAATCCCAGCTGGCACATCAAACAAAATTTTGCATTGCTCTGTAAGCAATTTCACATCATCTCAATTTTTTAGGGATCCTCTCATTGACATCACACAAATGCCGGATAGGTTACAAGTCCAAGGTGTGACTGTGTCCTGTCCTGGAGGTTAACAGGGGTGGATCCAAGGGGATTGCAAGAGCAGTCGGCGCAGCCCACCTGTGGACTGCACGCTGTCCGAGCGCTGGCGCCGGTATGATGGTGGAATCAGGTCCAGAGGCAGCTTGGCTGGAAGGGTGTCCCCTGCCCTCACACAGTCCACCAGGTGCATGGCCAGCACAAACTCCTCGCAGGTCAGACGGCCATCAGAGTCTATGTCCGAAAGGTTCCTGGGCAGCGTTCGAAAAGGCACCGTTTAAGACGAGCAATACACACACAGAACGGAACTAATAAAATCTGCTTAAAGGCCGACACACACTCTGCCTCCTCCTTTCCTATATCCTTCCCATTTTTTACCTCGCCCCAACTTGGCTCCTCTCACAGCTTAGGAGACGGGAGCGCCAAGAGTTCCCCGGAGAAAATTGAGGTTGTCCATCGACCTTTAGGAATACGCAATGACATGTTAGAAAAGGACGGCAGACAAGAACTGGAAAAGGCTACTCGACGCTGCGGTACGTACACTGAAAAAACAGTTCCGATGGGCTACTCGGCAGACCACTAGAAAAACAATTCTGAATGTGAGGAGAAATGACCACCAGCACCACATGTCTCATTTACCTGACTGGTGGTACCAAATGTGTGCCACGGTGTCTATAAAGAGATATTGCTGACATTTCAATCTTTGGAAAATCACTTCAAGCACTCAGTGATGCGACTGGTCCGAGTGATTTTGGAACAGCGAGAAGTACTTTTGGAGCACAGGCACACATTTCATTTTTATTCATACCAATGTGAATATCATGTTAAGATTTATGTGTTTAAGCTTAATTTGCATTCCTGCTTATGTGCAACTTTTTCTTGGCATCAACAGCATTACAGGTTTGATTCCATAGCTGAAGTTTAATTACACATAGTATTATAAGGCACAGTAACAACATGCCGATTGACAAAGGGCAGTAGAAACTGCTGAAACAAATGTGAACCAAACAGTATATTTTAGACTGACATAATGCTAGAATATAATAATTTCGAGCACCCAAACTGATGTTTTCTTTATGTTCTAGAGGTTGTAATAAAACTTCAGTTCTTAGTTTAAATACGATACAAAGCTTTTGTCATTTGACAATGAACACCAATGACATTTTATAAGCAGAACTTCATGATGACTAAAATCGGTATATAAACAATAAATATGCTTGACTAAAAAAAATCTTGCCGAACACGTTTAGGTTATTCCCGGGCTCGCATTTGCAGCTCCAACTAATTTAATTTCAATTTTCTGTATTCACGTCCCATCGCACGGATGGAACCTACAATAGCTAAACGAGAGTTGACAAAAACTAAACATATAAAGCAGTTCATAAAAGTTTTCATGGAATACTCAACTTCCCCCAACAAATCTTGAATGTGAAAAAGATATTGTCATAATATCGGTATCATATACTGTAAACAACTAAATTTTTGCGAGGACCAAATTTTCGCGAATTTCGTGAATCGCCAACAATTCGCGAAAAATACGTCCTGCGAACAATTCAAGCAATATGTGAACGCTAAGGAAGCTACACTCGATTCGCGTAAATTAGAACCCGCGAATAACATAAAATTTTCAGCTTTGGCCCGATTTGCGAAAATTTGAGCCCGCGAAAATTAAGTCGTTTACAGTATACTAGCCACATTTTTTTTTTTTTTTCGGAAACTGCGAGTAACAATTTGCTTTGGGAGAGCGCTTTCCCCTTAGCATGCAGGTGCACTGCAGCAGAAATACGCAAAAGTGCGACGCCTACTACGCAGTGACAACTACACTCAACGATGCTAGCTATCCAGTCAGAACACACAACGAGCACAAGAAGTATTGCGAAACCTATGAGTAGTACTTTTAACATTTGATACAGAGATCAAATTGAATAATTTAGCGCCTCGCGGCCGCCGCCATTTTGTTGTCTAGTGTGTTTCGAGCACAATTGGCAATAGTCACGACGCAAAAATGAGACTTCCCGAGCTTTAGATGAAAGCTTGGGAAGCTCGGGCGATACTATTTAGATCCGTCGCGGACCGTATTAACGTTTCTGGAGAAAGGAAAAGAGTTTCCCGAGATTTCAGACGAGGCTTCGGATAACCGGACAAAATCTTTCAGCAACCAGAATCCCGAAGTGTCTTTACTCTGGAGCATAGCTCATTTAAGGCTGGTTCACACATTTAGGCTTGCTACCGACCAAGTTCTTGTGATATCCTACGACGAGAGAACACAATGGCACAATCTAAGAGGTGGCCCTGCAACTGCATTTCATGAGCGAACATTTCACAGTATTTGCGACACCAAATGTATGCACTATATGCGAAAAATTTTCATTTATAACATGGTCAAAAGTTTTTCGAACACTGCGTAAAAAAAGTGGGAAATGTACGGAAATCAGAAGTGTCCCACAGCTACCCCATAGGTGGCATCTTGTGGAAGAGATTGCAAGGAGCTTCAACTCAATCGGTCGCAAGCAGTCGTGAGTGCGTGAACCAGCCCTTGGTCGCCCCAGGTACCACCGACATCGGCTCTTACGATTTGCCGCGCTCTGCCCTCGTCTTTACCCCCGCGGCGTAGAGGGACCGCCGACAATCAGCTCCATGCGAAAAGCCGTGGCTCACCAGATCTGGGCGAGGACCGTGTGCGGCAGGGCCGACTGGAGCAGGATGGTGCGGGCCTGACCCCCGCCGAGGAACCCGCTGCGGCTGCGGTCGTGAGAGTTGAACAGCTGCGTGTACTTGAGCTTGGAAGGCTGCGGCACCGCCCACTCTGTCAGGGCGGGAGGGGTCGCACTCCCAGGGGTGTAGGGCTTGCCCGCCCCCACGGCCCTGGAAGAAGGAGGCACGTCATGCCACGGAACGGAGAGTCTGATCCTATGGTCACCGACGGGGTGAAAACGGCAAGGAGCGTCTTTCGAAGACCTGGTCTCCGGCACGCGCCACACCTTTTACGGTGCTTTGGACACGCAAAAGAGACGTTGAAGCATTGTCAAAGGAAGAAAGATAGCACTGGAGGCGGGGCAACTGAGGCTCCTCCCTGCCGTTCTCTCCTTGTCTATCACTTAGGAGTCTCGGGTACCCCTGACCCCCCTCTCCGACTCACCCTAAATATGTGCACGCATTAGGTATTAACAGAATAAACAAGCTCCTGTGATTGAGCCTCACTAATATATCAAACAAGCTAAGAACACGATGAGCTAACATCCTTTCTTATTACATATACGCATATGTCTTGAAGCTCATATTCTTAAGGTAAGCGGCTTTGGAGAAAATCAAACACACACATGAAAAAGATAGAAAGAAAAAAACTAACACACAGACGAGAAGACTTCTGCGTCCTCCTTCCGCAGCACTAGATGCCTGACAAGTCCAAGCTTCCAAAAACTGCCCGGCAACTCTCTAGATTCCGCTGATGTAGCGGAGACACATTCAATAATTTCAACATTTACGAAAAGCCCAACCAAAGACTGTGCATGAGCCTAACAGGAAAGCGAGGAGAGGAGGAAATGCCTTCCTCACCCTGGAACGATGCCCAGCGGTGCAACGTGCGGCCCCACCATGGATGGAGGCGGCAGGGGCGATGCCACGGGGAAGGCAGCCCCCGGGAGAGCTGCGTTGACTAGAGGCTGTGCCACCGGGGACACCACTTGTTCTGAAAAGGGCGATGGGTGACCGCCAAATAAGCTCAAGATGCCGAGCTCTCATCAGTTTGTTTGCAAGAGCAATGCAAGCGACACCTCTTGAGCTGCTAGAACGGGGATGACAATGCTTGTTCCCATTAGTGCAGCAGGAAGTATCTCCCAACGTCACTTAGAACGTTGTAATTATGGTTTTTGAGTGACTGTCTGCAGCAAGTTGCCATGGTGTTTCAGTTGATACTTGCAAAGATACAGTACCAAGTCAAAGTGCATGTGGGGAAACAACAAAATTACGTATTGGCATCATGTAATTATCCTTTAGACACAGATTCTACTGCAAGATATTCAATCGCTACATAAAAGAAACCAGACTCAGTTTGCGATTCATTCTTTGCACTGCTCAGTTTATCTAAATTACCTATTTAATCATTTTTACACATCTATTCAGGATGTTAAATGACAATTTAAAGGGCACATGCAAAGGAAAAATACATTTTTTTAAACAGCCTGGTTTGGAAAGGGAAGTCATAAAACGAATTTACAATGAAATATAAACTTTTTAGAGCTATATTTACGGCGCGCTATACAAATTTGTAGTTAGCGCCCGCGGGCGCCGCGTAAAAGTGGCCGCTGTTTGTCACGTGGTACTTGCGCTTTTTCGGAAGCTTCCCATGGTCTCTAAAAGTTACTTATTCATCTTTGTTTCAAGAGCAACAAGAAATGAAGATTGATAAGAAACTTTTAAAGCCTAAAGGAAGCTCCTGAAAAAGCGCAAGCAGAAGTGAAAGACCTGTGCGCCGGTCAGATGACGGCGCCGGTGCCGCGGAGCAGACGAACTTGCGCAGCGGTGGCGGCGTGGAGAAATGCATTGAAACGGCAGCGCACCACGCTCAGAATGTGGTGGCGGCGTGACTTTGACGCAGCAGCGGTGCCGCGCGACGGCGCACAAGGTGTACCGCGTGACCTGCGGCAGCTCCCTCGGGTACCTACTACAAATTCGTTTTGCGCCGTAAATATAGCTCTAAAATTTTTTTTTTTCTTCCTTGTAAATTTTTTTTTTAACATTCTTTTTCCATTTAGGTTGTTTAAAAAAATGTTTTTTTCCTTTGCATGTGTCCTTTAACATACTTTCATTCGTTACAATAGCAATTCTGAATAAAAAGTTGTCTGCCGCGACTTGTCTGACCTGCAGCTGCAGAAATACAAGTATCTTTACACAGTTTCACGTAATTTGTCTGATCTAATACAACATTATGGCTCCTTTAAAAAAAAAAAAAGGATTTACGCTGTTAACACATGTAACCCAAACGTGGGATTTTATGAGAGTAAGGAACAAGGCACCAACCCTTCCCCAGCATGAATCTCAACACCAGAACCCAGTGCACTCACACTCAATGCTGGTGATGCCATCTCTGGGAAATGAGTGAAAATGACAATTTGAGAAACACCACGCTCATTTAAAGAAAAGGGTACCCCATTATAAGGACAGCATAATCTATATGTGCTGCAATCACTAATGATATTCACCAGAAAAATAAAAAAAAAATTGGCAGTAATCTTTACCTTTGAAGTCCTACAGTGCATGAAAAGCATAAAAATCAATGAAAGGATTGGTGTGTCACGTGACATATTTTCCCGCTAAATTTAGCCGGTAACTGAATTGGTGAAAAGGTCAGGTCATATGTCTATTTCCCGCCAAATTTAGCGAAGAAACTGAACTAATATTTTGGCCACAAGACGCAAATCTTCCCGCTAAATTTAGCGGGAAACTGAGTTAAAGTATGGGCGAACAGACAAAACTTTGGGATTGGGAGGTAGCGTTAAAAAGCATTTTATGCTTTTTAGCAAGTAGTTGATCTATGGCACAAACCGTTCCCAAGCGGATTTAACTCGTATTGGAGCGTGCCACGTAGGAGAGGGCTCACCTAGTGGGGGCCCGAAGGTGGGGCTGAATGCCCCCGTGGGAAAAGGCGGAGAGCGCAAGGAAGAAGGCAACATGGCGGGCAACTCCAGGCCCTTCAGCTTCATCTGTATCAAATGCAAGGCCACTGCAAACTCGTGCCGGTTGATCTTGCCATCCGCGTCCATGTCTGCCAGGGACCTGCAAGTGCCCGCAGAACTCCTCGTCTGACCAGGTCCTTCCGCCCAAAGACACCACTCCTTAAAGAACAATTTAGCTGCTCCTTCCGGAACCTCGGGTAACATCACTATCGAAACCGACGCTCAGTGTTCTTACCCAACGGAAGTGTGCATGAACTAGATAAAGAGGTCTGTGTCTTTTAAGTAAGGTGGGAGTTGTCAAACTTTTCTCTCTCCAGGAACGCCATATTTCTTGACTGAAAGCCGAGGAGCCCCTCCCAGTCTCGGCATTGGGGCTATAAAGCGGCTCAGAAGTTTACCGACCTAATGAACGATAAAGCACACATCATACTCCATTTCACCCGATGACGAACAGCAGCAGATGCTACCAGCTATCACGGGCAATTCAGCACTGAATGTACAACGCAACCATGCACCCTGCGCGTTGCTACATTCTTCCCGAAGGTCACGCGATGCTGACACCCCATTAGATGAGCTTAGATGGTGCACAGCATTCTATGCAGTTTGTCGTAAGGTAAAATGGAGTATAGGAAGTGTCTGGCACATTAACGGATGGATGAAGGCTGGCTCACACACTTGCGACTGCTTTTTAAAACCTCTTAAAATCATTCTTTCTTTTTCTTGGCTAGAAAAACCCTTGACAATAATATAAACAACCATTCCTCCCAGAGGGCGCACAAATTTCATTTCGCAAATATCGCAGAACCTTCGCTCTAGTAATGCAGTTCCAAGGTCACCTCATAGATGGTGCCAGCATGTCGGTGTGTTGTCTCGTTGTAAGAAATAACAAGAGCTTGGTCCTGAGCAAGCGAAAGTACAAATGAGGCTTTAAGGTTTAAAAAAGGGCTTAAACCAGAAAAACACTTGCACTCCTGGGTTCCTGGGAACAAAGTTTGAGAATCGTTACCCCGCAGCTCCATCAAAATGTAGAACTCTCTCCTGGCGTGCGAAATGTCACGAATGACATTTCGCAGCTTCCCAAAATGTCACGAATGACAAAAGATGAGGCAGCAAATAACTGGAGAAGCTAAATGTTTTGATGTGGCAAACTTGCGCCAAAACAAAATAAGAATGAATGGCGAATAACAGACGTCGCAGGCATTGATGACGGCGTAACGGCAGGATCGAGCACAGACGAAAGAGTTGCCCTGTTCCGCCACGCAGAGATCCTTATGTACACGCATGGGCTTCTGGAACATTTGGCGCAGAATGCTTGGCACATAGAATTATTTAGACAATGAATAAGATACAAAATCCTCAAACACACCAGCACGCAACATTTACAGAAATAACAAAAAGGAGTACAACTGCTCCCAAGCACCGAACCTCGGCCCTTTGCGTGGGAGCCAAGCACGATAACCATTCGGCCACGGGCGCGCTGCCTACTTGGCCAGCTGTGCGTGCGGCAGTATTAAAAGGAACTCCGTTTCAACACCTCAATTTCAACGCCAATGTGGCATTACTGTTTGAAGTCAATGCGAAAAACTGACAATATCGGAAACTGACATATCCGAAGTGCCCATTGAGCAGTGATTTGGGAAAAGGTCACAGTGACTTACCAGACTTTTGCAAGGACAGCAGGAGGCAATCCAGACTGAAGGAAAAGTTTCTTGGCCTGTTCACCTGGAAATCGTAAGGTAGAGGCATACATAAATCTGAACACCCGCGCTTCGTGTAAGGCAATACAATTTTGAGAGGGTCTGGGATGCAAGACGCCATGCTACTACTTTATTAATTTAGTTACCTGGACCCACACTTCTGTAGAGGCTCTTGCAGGTGTGGGGTGCACAAACGGTAAAAAAACTAACATTGAGAACAATAACAAGCTCTGAAACACCGCACTGCTTGTAGCAGCTGTCAGAATTAGGACTTCGGCGGAAATTGCGCTGAAACTGCTAATGACCTACTTCAAAGGCTTTAGGCTTTTGCTGTTGGGTACTGTCGACGTTTCACGAACAACAATGTGTGGACTGTGCTTCCTGGGGAGAACTCTCGTATTTTGCGTGCGTCGTGAAACTTTTTTAGTAGAGCAGGCATGCTGTGCTTACCTGTGATGAGCCCCCCTACAGGCTGCATCTGAAGAAACTGGGCATCAAATTTTGCCCGGGAGTCGGGTGGTATCGTCCACGGGTCGAACCCCGCCATTTCGACTGCGATTTTGTTCGCCGATCAGCTGAGTAGCGCCAGATTCTGCAAACGAAGGAGGCACCATTTCCCAAAACGAACACGGCCGACACTGCCAGACGCTCTAACTGGGGCGCCGAAAAGGGCCCGGCGGAAGAGAACCAGAAATGTTGACGGAAAACGACACTAGCGAGACGCAAAACGGACTTCCTGACTTTTAGTTTTTGTTTTTCTTTCAAGGTCACAAAAGGGGCGTTAAATCGGCAGACGTGTCGAGAATCGTATTTCTTGGCAACGCACCAAAGCACGTCGAAGCATCGATTCGTCGAATGCGTTTGAAAACAACTTTGTAACCGCGTAATTTTTTTTTTTTTTACTTCTCATAATTTATTTTGTGAGGAAAGTTCAAACCGAGACAGCACGTAGAGGTTGCAGTCACCGACAAAAGCTCCCGTAGTAGTACACGTCGCGCGATATCCAGTAGTAATTGTTCGTTCTTCACCGGCTAATGAACTCGGAAGGGCGTTAATGCCTCGTAGTGATAACGTATCGACACACGACGAACGAACGGCGCTCTTCAGGGTCATGCAAGAGCCTAGCTTCTTTTTTCTTTTAAAGTCCGAACTGAAGTTCATACAGGGAACGACGAATTCGGGCGTGAGAACTCGCAGATCGAAAACTTCTCCGCCCAGAATATTTACAGCTACATCCGGTCGGAGTATTTTAAATATTAAAAATTTGTGTTCAATAAAATTTTTTTTGTCGTATTGATTGTAGTGTGCGGACTTGGGTGCAATACGTCTCGAAGAGGGGAAAAATGCGGGGTTCCTTTTCGGCATCTGCGAAGCCGGTGACACCAATCGATCGGACCGAGGCGACTTGCCTCCGTTCCGTCGCCCGGAGTGATGTTCGCGTGTTGAAACAAGCGCTACGCGCTTTTGGAGGAGACATATTTCGATTAAAAAGGGGGTCAACATTTTTAGCCGTACGCGCGTTTAAATACCAAGTAAGAGCGAGCGAGATCAAGACTAGGCCTAACGTCATACGCTTGGAGATCCGTCTGAAGGTCCCAAGAGTAGGCAGACGGTGGGAAACGGTTCTTACCGGTTCGTAAGGCGTCCGGAGTCAAAATTCCATTGACAGTAAACGCGATAACATCCTCGTATTGAAGTACATCGTTTTTTTCTTGACTACTATGAATGGGTAAAAGTCATCTGCAACTCCCTCAAAAACACCGCCCAGTAACTGATTCAGCCGAAAGACCTGCAAAATGACTTTCGTAAGCGAGAACTACAGCACATTGCTTCAACATTTATATGTCTCAAATATATCTAAAACTAATAATAACGTGTCGTTGTATAGGTTTCGTTTTATTTATATATATATAATCTTTCATAAAAATGCGAAACGAGGAATGGTGTAACGGCCTCTGGTGACGGCCATCTTGCATGTACCCAAGTCCAATTTCTGGAGCGTTGCAGAGGCTGGGCGACAGCGTGCTGAAGACACGTTTCCTGCTCGTTTGCCGTCATTCGACGAAGAAGCTTTTTACAAACTTCTCTAAACAGTCGTTCTTGCCTTTGAGAACACGTATATAGTTTTACAAAAGCGCAGCACCGCAGAAAAACGTCACAACTAGTCGAACGTAAGTCTCGCCGGCAGAGTCGCCGGCTTCGGTGGCGTGATCAGTTTTCTTAGCACGCCGAAGTGCTACGTCTCTGTGCCTTCGCACGCCTGGATACCTATCAAGAATGGTGAACGTGGAAACGTTTTGAAGGCGTGTCGTGCGTCTTTGCATGATTTATCAGCCACGAAGCTGTCCAGTTGTTCCGGCAAGTTGCTATCAATAAAGGGGAAAAAAACAGTGGTTGCTATTAGGGATGCCGCGAACCACCCGAGGTTCGAATTCGAAAGGTTTCGATATTTTCGACCGTATGGAGATTCGAATTCGAAAAATTCGCAACTTTCAAAAATCGTGGAGTTTCGAATTCGAAAAGTTCGAAGCTTTCACGGTTTCTAAAAGTTCGGGTTCGACTATTTCGAATATTTTTTTTTACTTGGGGTTCGAGAAATTCGAAGATTTCGAACTTTCCCTAACTTTGAAATTCGAGAGAATCGAATGTTTCGAATTTTTTTGAATCTGAAATTCGAAAAATCGAACTTTTCGAATTCTTAGAGACATAAAGTTCGATAAATTCGAAGATTTCGAATTTCTTTCTACATAAAGGTCGAAAAGTTCAAAGGTTTCGATTCTCTTTTAGCGTAAAATTCGAAAAAAAAACGAAAAAAAAATTAGGTTTCGAATTTCTTTCAAGTCCAAGTGAGCAAAGTTCGTAGTCCGGTTTTCATGTTCCGCCACAGTTTCAGTTTCAAATAAAGGCCCGTTCATACTCTTGCGACCTGGTAAGACCGAGAGAGACCAGACCGGTTTTAAAGCCTCTTGCGATCTCTTAGGACCAGCTCCGCTGCATCGCATCCAATCCTAAGAAGTCGCCAAAGGCTTAAAAACCGGTCTGGTCTCTCTCGGTCTTACTACGGACGAAGGCCCAGCCGCCCAGCTGCTGGCAGCGTTGAAGCAACCGACGCTTCAGGTCGGGGTCCACCGCGACGACTATGTACTGTGTGTACGACCACGGTACGTGCACGATACGACGCGGTATGTCGTTCGACCGGCAGACAGCCGGCCAGGGGCTGTGTTCCAAATCTCCAAATGGATCCGAGTTTCTCCGGCGGATCGTATCACGTGACAGCACAGATTGAAAAACGCTGTACGCGGGTAGGTTTTAGAACGCCAAGAGTACAAAACCCTCACCCTGGGGTAAGATCGAGTCAATTTTGGAACACGGCCAGGAAGTAGCAATGGCTCTCGTGCGGGGCGCAGCCAAGCCAGGAAAGCAGCCAAGCCGATCCACTACGAAGAGGCGGGGACTACCTCTCCTCCACGCGCCCGAGATGCCGAGAGAGAGAAAAGTGGAAAGGAGGTGACTGCCGACTAAATTGCGTCTGGCGCAGTCAATATTGCTCTAAAAAAATTTTTTTTTCGCGTAAAATGTATTTTTTGACACGCGTGTCTCAACCAGACTGTTTTTGAAAAACTTTTTTCTTCTTTTCAGGGGCCCTTTAACGTTTTCACGCCTCACTGGTTTTCACGAAATCAGGTTTAGAAATGTTCGGGTGTGATATTTAGACAGCGCGAAGTTGTTCAGGCAATTAAATGGGACGACGAGTGTCCCGGATGTGCTGGATTATTTGCCAGTGTAGAGTGGCGTGTGCAGATCAGTAATTGTGACCGCCAGCCCGGGGGGGGGGGGGGGGGGGGGGGGGGGTTAACGTGCATCACGCAGTAGTGATCACACGAACGCACTGTTTACCGATACTCATCCAGTTCGAAACGGCCAGGGACTGGCAGGTGGTTGAGGCTCAGAAAAACCTTGAAGCGATCTGGCAAACTGCTTCCCTGCCCCCCTGCACGCTGGTAGTAATCCGTTCGAACGCCGCCCAAGTGACGCTGGCATATAGTAAGTTTAGTTTGCACATGATGCAAAATCCTGATACTGGGAATGAAATTTGAAAGAAAAAGTGTAAGAAGACAGAAAAAAGGGGACAGGACAACGTCTCAAACTCAACTCAGCTGAAAACTCGGCTCAGGACAGCGTCTCAAACTCAACTCAGCTGAGTTTGAGACGTTGTCCTGTCCCCTTTTCTTTTTCTTCTTACACTATTTCTTTCGAATTTCATTCCCAGTCTCGGTATTTTGCATCATGATCAACATACACCAGCTCGCCTGCAAGGGATTTTGCATCATGATCAACATACACCAGCTCGCCTGCACCTTGACAATTCTTTAGTTTGTAATTGCTTTGGAAGTTTATTTTCCGAGACGGAAGAAACGCCGAGCGAAAAGTACAGAAGCTGACACAACTTGAGGTCGAGGAGCGTTCTACCATACCAGTAGCGTCGGAAGAGGAAAAACGGGGGGAAGGGAGGGGGGGGGGGGGGGGAGGGGGGAGGGCTCCAGCCTCTCCCTCTCTCCCCTCCCCCCAGATATTTCGGACTGTTAAAGAAAACAATACGGGGAAAGAGGGCATGGTCGAGCTTATTTTAATCGCTCTTCACTGCATAAACGGTCGCGTAGATGGTCATTGTTAGAAACGCGTTGTCAGAAGGCGCTGCTCGTCACATGCTCGGGGGTTCGGAAGTTCAAAGCTATGACTTTTTGACCTAAATAACTGTGCCATTGGTAAAAAATAGTAAAAAAAATAAACATAACAATAAATGCAAAAAATAAAAAGCTGGAGAAAAAAACTCAAGAATCCTCCGGAAGTGTTGTATTCTCGCATATTCACAGGCCCAGAACTACGAAACAAGTTTCTTCTACCAAAACGTGTACAGGCTAAAAGAAACATGTCCCAAAAAACGTGAAATGAAAAAATTTAAAAATAATATATATATATATATATATATATATATATATATATATATATATATATATATATATATATATATATATATATATATATATATATATATATATATATATATATATATATATATTTTTTTTTTATGACGTGCCGGAGTTTGAACAATATTATAAATCTTTTTCCCTGAGTTAATTTATTCCTCAACATGAAAATAACAATATATACATTAATTTGTATTCTGCAGATATTAATGATATGTACTGTCTGTGGTGTTAATTTAAATGCGATACCTCAAACAATTTCGACGAAAACAATTACCAAGTTTAGGGCATAATTTCCCATGATACATGTTTGGATATTTCTTCGAAACTCGTCTTGAAGAATACTAATCATATCTTAAGACTACACTTACCTATGCTATACATAGATCGTTCTTAAAAAGTTTAACATCTCTACCATAAATATCTTCGGCTATAGCGCGCTTCCAATATGGCACAAACGACAGTTGTCAAAAACCCGTCGTCCTTCCTCGCTCCTTCGGGAATCCATTTCTTTAAAACCAAGCATACCAGACGATTGAAATAAACGGCATTGTCTTTCGCAAGTAATGCGGCGCCACATGTAAAAATGCGAGAAAAAAAAATTACGAATGTACCTCACAGCTTGAATCCAAATGAAACCGCCCGCCCGTCTTTCGAAGTTCGACGGACTTTGAACTTTTACCCTAAAAGTTCGAAGTTCGTCGAACTTTTGACTTTTCAGGTTCGAAGTTCGATAATTTTCGAATTCTTTAGATTAATAAGTTCGAAAGTTCGAAGACTATCGAATTTCTTAGCGTAGGAAGTTCGAAAGTTCGAAAAGCTTCGAACTTTTTAGTGCAAGAAATTCGAAAGTTCGAAAAGCATCGAATTTTCTAGTCTATCAAGTTCGAAAGTTCGACAAGCATCGAATTATGCAGCGTAATAAGTTCGGAAGTTCGAAAAGCGTCGAACTTCTTTAGCAAGTTCGAAAATTCGAGTTCCGTTGAATTTCTTAATATAGAAAGTTCGAAAAATCGAAAATTTTCGAACGTTTCGGACCGCTTGATTCGATCATCGAACTTTCGATTCGAAAAAAGTTCGCGGCACCCCTAGTTGCTATCATGCACTATTAAGCATGGATGTCCCAAACCTACTGCAATAGATCACATGGCAGCACAAGTAGAGCAACGCTGTGGAGTAAGGTAGGTTTTGACACGCAAAATTGATAAACGGCGAGATTGAAAGTATGAAACGGCGAACGCCTATATATATATATATATATAGTATATCAAACGCGGTCCATATGGTCGTGTGCAATCTGCCGCCGTCGCCGCCGCCGTACCCCCCTCCCCCTCTTCTGTCTCCACTGGATCAAGCTAATTTCTGGACCGCGATGTGCCGCAAGATACTATAGTCGTCAGAGTAAAGTAAAACGCTCTCCGGAGGCACATCCGTCTTCACGGACGTTGCGCTCGCGAAACACATCCACACGGCGTCGATTCTTGATAGGTATCCGTATCCAAGCGTGCGAAGACACAGAGACGTAGCACTTCGACGTACCAAGGAAGCTTTGATCACGCCGGACCGACGAGACTTGCGTTCGACGACTAGCGCCTTTTTCCTGCGGTGCTGCGTTTTCGTAAAAGTTGGACATATTCTTAAATGCAACTACGACCATTCGCACAAGGTTTTAGCAAACCTCCTCAACGAATGATGGCGGACAAACAGAAAAAAATAAAAGCTTTCAGCACTCTGCTGCCCAGCCTCTGCAGAGCTCCAGGTAGTCGACTTCGGTATGTAAGATGGCCGTCCGGTGGCCGCTTGCG